CGTGTGTGTTGGGGGGCGGAGGCGGGAACCCCGCGGCTGCTTGAGGGAAGGAGGCTCAGGCGTGGGGCGGGCAGGTACCGGGCCCCTCCTGCGGGGGCGCGGGGAGACCTGTGCCCTCACGTTCTCTCTCCTCCCGCAGCCGTGTGGTCCCGCCACCCCCCGCAGGGCGCGCCCAGCTGGCCGTGGGGATGGCCACCCGGGTCCGGACCGCTGCCGTCTGGGTGAGTAGGGGTTTTAAGGTTTTCCTCTCGTGTCTGAAAAACTCCCTCAACGCCGGTATGTGCTCACTGCGTCTCTCCTAGGGTCGGAGCTTGCCTGGAGTTTCCTCTCCTCAGCCCGCTTCCAAGCCGCTGGGCCACCTTTAGATGACATTAGACCGTCCGGATATGCTTCTTGTCACCCACCTGTTAGTTTACTCCTTCCTTCAGTCTCGTTTCTGCCAATTTTGTACCTTGAACTTTGAGTTGAAGAAGGGGTAATCATCTTCCAATTTCTTCCACATGTATTTTCTTAATTTTTTCTTTCTGTGTCTCAGATTTGGGCGCCTCGTTTGGGGAGTTGTGCAGTTGTTTATTTGCTTAATTAACAATTTTGTTAATTGTCTTTTGTTGGCTGGATCCTGGGCAGGTGCTAAGGGTACAAAGATAAGTAGTTGTTGCCTTTGGAGAGCAGTGGTCTGGTGGGCACAGTGACACTTTAGGGGTCCCTCTGTGAGCACGCTGTGGACGTGGGCGGGGACACACAGCACAGGGTCAGTTTTGGAAGGTAGGACACCCCCAGGAAATGCTTCAGAGATTAACAGGAGAGTCTTAAGCTGAGATTTGAAAGGTGAGTGAGGTGAACAAGGGACTGGAGGTCAGCCTTGGAAAAGGAAGCAGCGTGCAGATTTGCAGGGCTTGAAGCGAAGCGATCTAGTATGTTGGTGAACGTTGAACGCTCTACGGTTGCCGAAAAGTAGAAGAATGGAGGTTTGTAGGTGATGAGGGTGGTGGTATGTGTATTAAGAAATGAGGCCAGAGTTACAGGCAGAAACCAGATCATAAAGGGCTTTGAGGATCATGTTGAAAACTTAGATCGTATTCTCTCGAGGAGAAAGACTTATTGACATGTTTCCCAGGATTTTTGGAGGGGAGAGGGGAGGTAATTAGTTCATTTATTTATTTAACAGAGGCCGAGTAGTATTCCATTGCATAAATATACCACATCTTCTTTATCCAGTTGTCTGTTGGTGGACATTTAGGATGTTTCCGTGTCTTGGCTATTGTAAATAGTGCTGCTATGAACATTGGGGTGCAGGTGTCATCCTGAAGTAGGGTTCCTTCTGGATATATGCCCAGGAGCGGGATTCCTGGGTC